ACCCCTCCTTGGGTTTCTGAGGCAGTATCACTACAGAAGTAGATTGCCCAACCTTCCTTCTGAGGAGTGGCTGATGGGTTTGAACTGCCAGCCTTCTGGTTAGCAATCAAGTGCCTTAGACACTATGCTACCAGAGCTCCTGGCTATGGTATTAGACTGCTCAATTCTGTAGCATGAATATTTGATTTATAATATAAATTTTGGTATTAAGAAGGATATAAAGGTTGGATAGAGATTACTGAAACCACCCCAGACTGCAGTCTCCAGTTAGCCTTCGGGTCTGGAGTTGGACTCACTCCACTGGGTTAGCTCTCAGCCAAACAATAGAAATGCCTATGAGCTTAACACCTATCCCAGGGAGATGTATGAACGCTTTAGAACAATCAACCATGAGAGATTGGAAGGGCAGCATTTTCATAGGGAGAAAGCCAGACAGACAGGAATGCATAGGTAAGAACCAGGGAAAGGATAACTTCAGGGAAGAGGTGGGAGGAGAGCTGTTTTATTATGGGGATTGCACTCGGTGCCATAAAACAAAATGTGTATGAACTGTTGAGTGTAAAATGAATCTGCTTTGTAAATATGCATCCAAATCACAATAAAAACTAAAACTGAAAAAAAAAAGAGTTGTGATAAGGTAAGTAAAACCTGTGGCTGAAATAATGTTGCCCCTCTGTTATTCACAGCCTTGGTACGTACAGGCAATGTACAGACAACATAACTTTAAAAAGCATGTATTTGCAAGCACTGCTAACTTCTGTGTCCCCATACTCTCGAACTGTTATATTTTTGCTGTTTACTATTTTTCTGCAGAAAGCATTTTCTCCCAAGTCCCTTGGGATAGTAGTAGACCAAAGAAGTCTGGGTGATTGCTTTAGATTTTGAGACAAATGTGTAGTAAGGTACTCTTATTTCTTGCATGATGAAGCATGAAGCTCATGGGAACCTCCAATGGTCTATGTAGCACACATAAAATAATAGAATTTTAGTGCTGGAAAGAACCTCAGCTATCATCTGCACAGATGCTATCCCATTATCCTCTCATGCACATGATCATGCTCATGACTGCTTTGGGTCCTAATACAGAATTTCCTTATTTCATAAAGGTAGAACTCAATACACATGAACACACATGTATAAACCTTGAGTTTTTAATTGTTTGCCCAGTATTAGTAAAACTGACCCTATTCAAACCAGAAAGGAAAGATTCAGGATGTGGGGAGGGGCAATTTTAAAGTTACTCTACACTCAGGAGTCCCTTATTTTTCACAACATAGTATTCCTGAATGAGGTGATAATACTATTTAAAAGAATTTTGCCACTCTTTGAGTCTTTTAAAAATAAGATCTATGAACTTTTTAGGTTCACATCTTTGAATGTCAAATTTAATAAAATGAGCATACCTATACATCCTTTTTATTATTAACATCTTAATAAAAATTTGTATGCTACATTTTTACAGATGACTCAGGCATGCTTAGCTTACCTGGATTGCTTAAGTGGATAATGCCAGATTTTATGATCCAAGGCATGGCTTTTTCCTTTTTTATCCTAATATTCACAAATCAATTAATTCATTTAAACTTTTTCAAAAGCACATCTTAACTTAAGGCACTTGTCTGAAAATCATATTGCAATTTGTGAACTTATTTTCTATGATTTGATTAATTTATCATGTATTCTTAGCAAAAACATCAATTTGTAATATTTTCATATTTGTAAAATACTATATATATCTTGGGAACTCTGGTAGCGTAGTGCCTAAGGCATTTGACTGCTAACCAGAAGGCTGCTGGTTCAAACTCACCAGCCACTCTTTCGGAAGGAATGTTGGGCAATCTACTTCTGTAGTGATACTGCCTCAGAAACCCAAGGAGGGGTCGCTATGAGTCGGGGCTGACTTGATGGCACCTAACAACAACAACAACAACAACAACATATATATCTTATTTTGGGGAAGTGAAATAACAAATGGATAAATAAAATAATGTACATAACTACTCCATCTAATAGTCTAAAGTCTGCTTATACATTTTAATCTGTTGGAGAGGACTCTGCTAAGTTATTTTCCCATATTTTTCTCACTTGTTACAGAAGCTAATGAAGAGACTCCTCCACCTCTCTAGACACATCCCTAACTACTACAAAACTGAAAGAAGAAACTTCAGAAAAATTGTTTTCCACTTCTCAAAGGTTACCACTGACCACCCAATTGCCAAATCCAATGGCCTCTTGGTCCTATTCCTACTTGGGCTTCCTTGACAATTTTGATCCATTCCTTCTTGGTACTCTTCTTTCTTGACTTCTGCAATATAAACATTAGCTCTATGTTTGACTGTTGACACTTTATGTTTTGAATCACCTGATGCTGCTCGCCAGTTTTGAGGATTTGGTGAACTCCTTTGTCTGATGTCAATGGGCCTCTGAACTTGTTCCAAAAGACACTGCTGAGGAACACTAATGAAAAGACAGAAAAGCATTTGCCATGTTCTAACATTCATAAAGGGAAAGTAAACTCAACAGAAAGACCAATACACAGTTTTTTCTTAAAGATATACCTATATGTCTAGCTGAAAAGAAGTAGAGCGCCAGTAAAATTTTCCAAATTCCATTATTCACCAAATCTCTCATTTTAATTGTCTGAGAAATAATTTCCAAAATATGTAAAAAAAGATTTCTACATCATAACTATGTACTTTATATATATTATTTATTTCTAAAAAATCCTATAAACTTTAAGCTAATATTCAGACAATATTATTATCTGAGCAACATAACAACGAATATAACCATATAGTGTATGTAAGAATTTGAAAATGATTAAAAAAAAAGCTATCATGGATGAATGGGTGGATGGATGAGTAGATATAGATAGATAGATAGATAGATAGACAGATAGATAGATAAGATAAAACAAGTAAACACGTTATCTTTATGTATTAGTTCTTACAATTCAAATTCAGGGAATATTTAGAAAGTTGCTTTGGATAAGTGCAGTTATATTGTATAGTTGCATTGGAATTTCTTTATAGGAAGGTTGTTTATTTAGGCCTAAAATAGACCAAAAGTCTTTTCTATGGTCTCAAGTTTCAGGAAAGGCTCACATTTAATTTAAATTACATTAATAAATTTAGCCATATTTAAAGGCAATGTATTTCCTATCCATAAATTCAAAAGGACTTTCATAAAATGAGCAATTGCTTCTTAGTGTAAGAGTAAGTTTGATTTATATATATATTAGATTGTATTGAAATCATGCCCCATGATATAAAAAACTGCTACTCAAACTAAAACTAGTTCCTTTCCTTTGTGGTCAGAAGGACCATGCCAACCCATTCATGAATGCAGATAAAGAGAAAGTTCCTTGTCTTCCTCTCTGATTTTCCATGATTGCTGAACAACAGTTAAATTTGAGACTATAAATATAAAGGATTACAAACATAATGAGATAGGAATATACACACTCCATACTCTCAACTCTCAGCCATCTGATCATATTGTTCAGTATCACAAATACAGTAAGAGCTCAATTAATATTTACTGAATGCCTGAGTGAATGGTTCTCTCCATTATTAGTTGTGGTTGAAGGGAATATGGTTTTTAAGGAAAATCTACTTTAATTTTTGCCTTCAAATATAACACATCTCACAGAACATTTAAAATATGGAACATGATTTTTAAAAATTATTTATCATCACTGATGTTACAGAGATAAAAAATAGAATGACTGGTATCAATATTATATATAACCATTTCTTATATAGGATTTTGAGTTTTAGATTCAATTTTGATTATAGGTCATTTTCAATCTTGTTTATTTTCTGACATAAGCATTAGAGATCATTTGTGAGAGTACTTTATCATGCAAGGAAAATCACTTTGAAATTTCTCATCTTTTTATTCTTTTTTTAATCATCAATTAACAATTTAAAGCTATCAAAGAATTCATTGTTTTTGTTTTCTTTCCTTAAATTGTAGGTCTCACCAGATAATTATGAATTTAAATGACATTGAAATTGTAGTATGTGCAAATGTGAAAGACCTAGTTAATGGATTACTGAAGTTGAGATTTTAAATATGGACCAATGATGTCAATGATGATGCTGTTGTCACTAATGATTCAGTCTTGATTTCATTTAGAACTTGGCCTCAAAGGAACAAGCTTTAGTTTCCCATGTGATGGTGAATTATTGGTAATTTGAACATACATACCATGAAGAAAATGTGACACGGTGTGCATGGTCCTGGTTGTAAGGCATACAGGTAGATCTCTCCTGGACCTGAAAGACACAACTCAATATTTGAGTAGAATTCTCAGTAATAAGTTCTTATGAGTCATTAGTTGATGGGAAAATGCCTTTCTTCATATTTAGATATTTTCCTAAAAATACAGCTGTAAAATCCGATTGCATACATACATCCTACTTTCCCAGTAGCTTGTAGTATAACATTAGAACCGCTTAACCATAATTTCTGATGATATACTTACCTCCAATCTCACCAACAGTTATAGCTTAACAGAATTTTAGTGCCAAAACAAACTCTGGATATCATATAACCAAATACCCTCATTTTATTGGTGAGTAATCAGTAGGGAGGGAAAATGACTTTTTGAAGGGTTTTTGCATCAAGTCAGAGGAAGATCTCCCAAACTCCTAATTTAATGTTCTTTCCATTTTATCATATTATCTTTTACATCAAGGCCAAACTTCACACTCAGAATTTCACTTACCCTTTTAAGCCAACCCTAGATTTTCAAAAGTTGTCACACACATATATAGCATTAAACTCTCTGAAGAATTAGATTTCCCATCTGTTTTTTCACTTTACATATACTGTCATAAAGGTTCCAAATA